AAATTCAATATGCCTCTCAGCAAGTTATAGAAAAGGTACACAGAAAATCAGTAAGGAGAGAGAAGACTCAAACTAAAGTATCAATCAACTGGATGTAACTTTCATGTACAGAAAAACTACCCAACAGCATTAAATACCCAAAACAGACCATGTGCTGGGTCATTAAAAAGTTTTAATATATTTAGACAGAGTTGAATTATATAATATAGTAAGAGAAATAGACCCAAAATATTTGGAAATCCATTGAAATTAAACAACACACTTCTAAATGAATCGTGGGTCAAAATGGAAAGCATGAGGGAAATTAGAAAATACCTAGAATTGAATACTAAAAAGGAAAAGAATGTATCAAAATATGTGGGATGCTAAAACAGCTCTTAGAATATATTTATAGCTTTAAATGCCTTTCTTTTTTTTTTTTTTTGAAGACAGAGTGGTGGGGGAGAGAGAGACTCTTAAGCAAGCTCCACACCCAGCATGGAACCCAATGCAGACCTTAATCCCACGACCCTCAGATCATGACCTGAGCTGAAATCGAGTCATATGCTTAACCAACTGAGCCACCCACGTGCCCCTAAATACTTTCATTAGGAAACAAGAAAGTCTAAATTCAATGATCTAAGATTCCACCTCAAGAATTAGAAAAGGAAAAGCAAAGTAAACCCCAAATAAGTAGAAAAAAGATAGGAATAAATATAAGATTTGAAGTAAATACAACAGAAAAAAAAACCAATTAAACCAAAACCAGTTCTTCGAAAGATAAATAAAATTCAATTAACTTTCTAGCTAGAACGATCAAGATAAAAAGAGAGAGGACACTAATTACTAATACCAGAAATGTAAGAGGGGACACCACCACTGATTTATATACATCAGAGGAAAATAAAGGAATATCATGAACTTATGCCTAAATTGGAGAGAACAGATGAAATGAACAAATTCTTTCAAATACACAAAACTGACTCAAGAATAGAAAAATCAGTTTTCTCTTATAAGAAAGTAGAAGAGGAGGGAATATTTCTCAGTTCATTTTGAGATGACCATTATCCTGATATCGAGACCAGCCAAAGATATTACAAGGAAAAAAAAAAACAAAAACTACAGACTACTATGTATCTTAAACATAGACCCAAAATCCTTAACAAAACGTATTAGCAAATCAAATCCATAATACAGAAAAAAATTATGCACGATAATTATGCATGATAACCAAGTGGGGTTGATCCTGACAATATAACTTTGGTTTAACATTCAAAAAATTAATTAATGAAATTTACTACATTAACAAACTACAAAAGAAAAACCATATGTGACTTTAACAGATCAAAAAAAACCCAGTGAACAGGGGGGCCTGGGTGGCTCAGTCAGTTAAGCATCTGACTCTTGATTTCGACTCAGGTCATGATCTCAGGGTCGTGAGATTGAGCTCCCTGTTGGGCTCTGCAGTGGGTGTGGAGTCTGCTTAAGATTCTCTCTCCCTATCCCTCTGCCCATCCCCACCCCTTGAACTTTCTCTCTCCCTCTCCCCCTCTCTCTCTTTAAAAAAAAAAAAATTATTTAACAAAAACCATGACAAAAATTTTCAGGAAATTAGGAAAATAAGAGAACTTCCTAATGAAGAGCACCTTTGAAAAACACACAGCTAACATCACAATTCAAACATGAAAAAGTGGATGGTTTCCCCCTACAGTTGGAAACAAGGCAAGTCATATCCTCTTTCAACATTTCTCAATGACACTAGTGGGAGTCCTACACTGCAATAAAGCCAGAAACATAAATGCTCTAAAGACAGTTTGGAAAGAAAAGTAAAACAATACTCATAGACAATATGGCCAAACATATAGAATCTTAAGGAATCTACCAAAAAAGTTGCTGGAACTAATAAAAGGCCAACATACAAAAACCAACTGCATTTCTGTAGACCAGTAATTAAGCAACTGGAAAAAATTTAAAATACTGTTTACAATAACATCAAAAATATAACCTATTTTGGGATAATTTTAACAAAATAGGTGCAATACCTTCATACTGAATGCTATAAAACAATGCTGAAAAAAATTTTATAAGAGCCAAATAAATGGAGAGATACACTGTATTTATCAACTGAAATATATAATATTGTTAAGATGCCAATTCTCTCCAAATTGATCTAGAGAGTTAATGAACTATCCATCAAAACCCAGCAGGAATTTTGGTAGAAACAAACAAACTGACTTAAAAATACATGTTAAAATGCAGAGGAGCTGGTATTCCAAATTTGTCAAAGCAAACTATAAAATGAAAAGCAGAGTGTGCAGGGCCCTGGGGGGTTGAGTTGGTGAGGCATCTGCCTTCAGCTCAGGTCATGATCCAGGGTCCTGGGATCAAGTCCCACATGGGGTTCCCTGCTCAGTGGGGAGCCTGCTTCTCCCTCTCCCTCTGCCCGACCCCCCAGCTCGTGCTTGCTCTCTTGCTCTTTCTATCTCAAATTAATAAATAAAATCTTTAAAGAAAAAAAGAAAAGCTGAGTTTGAAGACAAACTGCATGATTTCAAGATTTGTTATAAAACCACAGTAACCATGACAGCATGGGATTGGTGTAAGAACGGACAAACAGCCATGGGATGCCATATACAGCCAGGAACAGATCCTTCTCATATATGATCTACCAATTTTTGTTAAAGATGCCAAAGAAATATGGTGGGGAAAGAATGGCTTATAACAAATGATGTGGGAACAACTGGACATCCACATGTGAAAAAGCAAACTCTGATCCATATGTTGTACTTACACTAAAATTAACTCAAAATGCATCTTATACCTACATGTAAAACCTAAAACTATAAAATTCTAGGAGAAAACATAGAAAACCTTTATGACTTTGGGTTAGGAAAATATATCTTAGATAAGACACAAAAGTAGGCTCCATAAAAGAAAACATGAGTAAACTGGACTTCATCAAAATGAGTGACTTCTGCTCTTTGAAAGTCACTGTTAAGAGAATGAGAAAAAGACAAGCCACAGACTGGGAGAAAATCCAAATTATATACCTGATAAAGAACTTGAATCCAGAATATATAAAGAACTCTCAAAACTTACAAGAAAACATCACATTAAAAAAATAAGCAAGATCTGAACAGACTTCTAAAAAGACATACAGATGGTAAATAAGCACATAAAAAGATGCTCCACTTCCCGAGTCTTTAGAGAGATGCTAATTCACACCACAATGAGATACCTCCACACACCCAGTAGGATGGGTGACATGAACAGATGGACAATACCAACTCCAGGCAAGGATGTGGGCGAACAAGGGCTCTCATCACCAGCCTTGGGAATGTGAAATGGTACAACCACTTTGGAAATCAGTTTGGCAATTTCTTAGAAAGTTAAGCATAAACCTATTATATGATCCAGCCATTCTATTCCTAGCTATTGACCCAAAAGAAGTGAACGTATACTTCTACACAAAAACTTGTATAAGAATATTCACAGCGGCTTTATCTGTAAGAGCCAAAACCTGGAGGCAACCCAAATACCCCTCAGCAAGTGAACAAGTGCAGCACATCCATAAAATGAAATACTACTTATCAGTAAAAGAACAAACTATCGATACATCCAAGAACATGAGTGAATCTCAAAGTACTTATGTAGAGCGGCAGAAGCCAGACAACCTACGAGGAAATACTGCATGATTCTATCCATATAAAATTCCAGAAAATGCAAACTAATTTATATTGTCAGGAAGTAAATCAGGAGTTGCCTGAAGCCTGGGGGAAGCCAAAAAGGGCAGAAGGGCGGGTTTACAAAGGAGCACAAGGAAACTTTTAGGAACGGTGGATGTGTTCACTATCTTTTTTTAAAAAAGGATTTATTTATCATTTATTTGGGGGGGAGAGAGAGAGAGTGAGCCTGCGAGCAAGACATAGGGAGGGGCAGAGGGAGAGAGAATCCCAAACAGGCTCTGTGCTGAGCGCAAGCCCCACACAGCACTCGATCTCACCACCCTGAGATCATGACCCGAGCCGAAATCAAGAGTCGGATGCCCATCTGACTGGGCCACCCAGGCACCCCAAGATTTTATTTATTTATTTACTTACTTACTTATTTATTTGGGAGGGGATGTGAGGGGAGGGGCAGAGGGGGAAGATGGATGTGTTCACTATCTTGATCATAGGGATGGTTTTCACAGGTGTACACACACATCTTAAAACTTATAAAATTGTATACTTTAAATATGTGCAGCTGATTACAGGTCAGTTATACCTCAACTAAGCTCGTATTTTTTTAAATGTAATCAAATAAAAAAAAATCTATTGAACCAATGGAAAGCCCGCTTCATGTTGACTCAGTATTTTCCTGTTGCATCTGGACAAGGAGCTAAAAGACCTTGACAAAATTGGATTTACTGCTTAGAATATCAAAATACACGTTAAAACCATCAATCTAAGATCCTCTGAATTTTTTTGCAATTCTAATCTGGTACACTGGAAAGAAAACTTCACGTGATTTTGATGAAAGACACTGGAAACTGTTTCCAAAGGAAATAGTGTGAACGAGGACACTGTGAGGGTCACACTGGCCTTTCTGGCCTGCAAGTCAGAAACCAGGCTTGCCGCTGTGCCCATTTCTCAGGCTGTGGGGACCAGCGTGTCACAGGCAGGGTGCTCTCACACTAAGGCCACACGGAGACTGCAACAGAGACTGCCCGCAGCTTCTCGTTTTCCTACTATTTTGTAGATCTAAACTCCTTTGGCATCCAATTTAGATGTGGAGGCTTTCTCCTCCCTGCTCTCCTTGTTCCCCATCTGACCCATTCCAGAGATGTTGCCGATTGCTTCTCCCCACGACACTCTCTGTAACGTCCCCCGCACACACTGGCCTCCGTTCTCGCGCACTGAAGAATTACAGCTAATGGCTGGCTCAGGTTTGCTAAAGCAAATGCACCAAAGCCACGTTCCACACCTCAAGAGAAAGGCTGTGCTCTGCTGTTTCAAAAGGACAAAGAGAGGCATGCTCACCACCAGCCGTTTCCAGGACACTCCCACTGTAGCCCCGAGCGACACCTCGCACAGAAGCCAGCTGCGGATGTTCGCGGTGCGAAAGCTCCCCAAGGCCCGTGGTGACATCTGGAGGGGCGGAGTGCACATCTGCTTTGGAAAAACAAACCCCAAATGAAAGCGGCTGTTGATTCAAAGAGGATGAGGTTGCTCTTTATTTTTTTTTTTTAAAGATTTTATTTATTTATTTGAGAGAGAGAATGAGGGAGAGAGAGAGAGAGAGAAAGCGAATGAGAGGGGGGAGGGTCAGAGGGAGAAGCGGACTCCCCGCTGAGCAGGGAGTCTGATGTGGGACTCGATCCCGGGACTCCAGGATCATGACCTGAGCCGAAGGCAGTCGCTTAACCAACTGAGCCACCCAGGTGCCCGAGGTTGCTCTTTAAATCCCATTCAAAGAAAGCCTCAGCAGCTGAACTCTAAGCAAGGAATGTGATATCTGATTCATTCTGTTTTTCTGGTTGACCAAGACACATCGGGACCCTGTGAACTCTGAACTCCCAGACACAGCCTGCGGACGCCTGTATGCACGTGGTTCTCATAGGGATCTCGGCCAGAACCTCCGACGATAATGCGTTGGCAGGCATGAGTGAACTTTAGACAAACATCTCAGTGAAGGGGGCGCCTGGGCGGCTCAGTCGGCTCAAGTCATGATCTCAGGGTCCTGGGATCAAGCCCCTCATCGGGCTCCCTGCTCAGCGGGGAGCCTGCTTCTCCCTCTCCCTCTGTGTTCTCACTCACTCTCTCTCAAAACAAAATAGTAAGAAATCTCAATGAATCAGAGACACATTTTAAATCAGTTGTCATTGGACTATTTTCGTTGTTATTATGAAAAAAATAGCCAGGCTTCTATAAACTACTCCCTACTCCCCCAAAAACTATGTTGGATGTCACAAAGACACAAGACCTCCTCAGGCTTCAAAGAATAAGCCTATGAAGATAAAAATGATCCCGGCTTCCAGATCAATACATCTCACTATTGGGGGACCTCAGTCAAGTACTAAGAGCGCAAGATATTAATGTCACAGTTAAAGACAAACGACGTCAGATGCAGAAAATGTTTGAAGTCATTCCTTCCGTTGTCTGAATGCTCATTTTGGGGTTTAATCTGTACCATACGGCACATGTATCTGTTTGGAGTGCCGGCTGACTGGAAGCTTCTGAGGCGGGAGCGGGAGCGGGAGCGTGAGCGTAAGCGTGAGCGCGGCGTCTGTATGAGGGCCGGCGGGACAGACCTGCCGTCCCTTTGGTCCTCTGATGCGTGTTTCTGCCCCCACAGGGGCCACTCTGCTGCTTCTGATTTTTAAATTCTGATCGTTTACCTATTAGTTCATCACCTAGGCAAAATGCAAACCAAAATTTTTTAAAAATATGTAGAAAGATGAAATTATATGGAAGCAAAACCCAAACTCACTATTTACATATCAGAAAACACCATTTGGAAAAATCTAACTTAATGACAGGGTTTTCACAACCCGTGAGAAAGTGTGATGTTGATGAAATTAGCATTTTAAAGTATGCCTATCATGAAGTTCTTTTAGTTTAGAAAGAAATTTCCCCAACCTTCCAAGTCTAGCAAAAAGAGTAAGTGATTTTAACAATATTCATGAAAGGCATAAATGGTAATCTTAACTACAAAGTAGTTTTAAAATCACTACATAAAAATAAACAATACTCAAAATAAAAATGAACTGCTATAACTGAAAATACTACTTTTAAATATAGGTATTTACATCTGTGTCCCAATGTTTTATGGATTTAATTTAATTTCTTTAATCCAAAATTGAAAATTATATATTTTTTTAAAAATTACCTTTACCTAATATATTGTACCTCAATTTTGTTTTACCTAATATATCCTTCTTCTTTCTATATTTCTTTCCTTAGTCCAAACTGAAGAATTCCCCAGTGCTAAAAACTAAAAGGATGATTTTTATAATAAGGAGCAGGAAGGTAAGTATTTTCAGATTCAGGAACTCAAGTCAACTATATCCAGAGAACATTTAGCAGAAGAAGGCTACAATCCACAGTGAAGATTACCAGAATTTACAGGAACTGATCACACAATGTGTGGGAGAGGCTAAACGAGTGGGACAGGAGAGAAAAGGGTGCAGCCGCACCTGCCAGAGTCAGGGGTCCTCCGCGCACGCGGTAAAGAGTCTCCCTTGTCAGCCTCCACAGCCCCCCTCATGGAGAACACACACACCCCACCTCCGCAGGCTTTGTGAAAAGACCCCACGGCCACAGGACAGTCCAGGGCTGTTGGGCTCTATGTTCTGAGCTGCTGCCAGCCGCTCATGCTACATACGCTTTCATCTCCAACCCACCAGGAAGCAGGGTTTGCAACATCTCGGCAATGCTGATGCGGTTCTACTTTCTACACCATCTCACCCAGAACAGAGTATCAGGAAGCAGAAATAAGGTAACAGAATATTCAGAAACACCGTTTTCCTCCCATTAGAGATATCTATTTCCGATATGTGAAATCACTGTGACAAACAGAGGAAAAAATGTATCGGTGTGAAGGCCGTGTTTCCAGCTCTCCCCGGAAGCCCTCCTTGAGGACAGCTGGGGAGTGACCACAGCCATCCCATCGGCAGGACACCCAAGGCCGCTGTCAGAACAGCCTGAGAGGGCTGCTTCCCCAAGGGCTCTGCCCTCAAGCCCCAGCCTCGGTGGCTCCCCAGTGCCCTCAGTAGCTTCTCCGTGTGCTGGGAGCAGTGAGCCCACGTCATGGTAGAAGACACAAGCTCGACAGAAACGTGCAGGTTTCCTGTATTGACTCAACAGATAAACAGTGAAGAGCATCCGTGATGTGTCCACAGAGGATCCTGAGACTCATCCAGTTTACTCCCAGGGCAGCCAAATGACCAAGATTTCACAAGAAAGCAGCTCAGCCCCTGGGCCCGCATCTGCCTGGGGGCGTTTAGGCTCTGGGGAGACCACCGGAGACACGGCCTGTGATGGGCGTGGTGCACCACGACAGTTTTAGCAGAACTCGCGGCAAAGAAAACTGTGCCAGCCCTGGGCCAGCTGTGTGATCTCAGGCAAGGGACAAACAGCCTGCTTTCTGTCCTTCCCTGCACATGCAGAAAACCGTGGGGGCTAAGAGAAGTCTGCGGCAGTGCCAACAGCACCCCCCGAGAAACACGCGTCGTTAGGGCGCGAGTGCAGAGTGGACGTGAGCCCCGCGCACCAGCTCACGTGCAGCGAACTATGCTACGGTCCAGCAAATAAGATTTCAAATCATGAAAGATTTGCAATGTTTCCCTTCTAAGATTAATGTAATTTAAAGAAATGGATGATTTAGAAAAGACCTACACATCTTTATGATTTAGCTTTGCCGGACATCGCGGTTCAGGGTGAGGGGTTGTTTCACTTGGGATGTGGCGTTAGGAAGGCCGGACCGTGGCTGCAGTCCCGGCCCCCTGCCCCGCTGCTGGCTCCACAGCGGTGCTCACAAGGCAAAGAGTGAAGGCGGAGACAACGCAGAGGCAGCAGGCTCAGGGTGGCCATCAGGAGCAACTGAGGCCACGTCTGGGGACCGTCCACCCTACATCTGCCACCTGCACCAGGCCACCCCTCCAGAGCAGGAGGAGATAGGATACCCAGAAACACCACCACTTCGGGGACCCACAGGGAGGCCAACAAACCACACGGTCTGCGATTGCCAAACCACACGGTCTGCGATTGCCAAACCACAGAAGCATCAAGAACTATTTTCGTTCCCAAAATGACCTTTGCAGATGAAAAAGAGAAGGTGGATCTTGATGGGCGCTGAGGCACCCCATCCTGGAGGGGCCGTGGCAGCTCGTTACTGACCTATGTGGGCGTGGGCCGCGGGGCCTGTGAGCGTGGTGGCGGCGGCACTGGGAGCGGCGGCGGGTCTCCCTCCCGGGTGAGATGAGGTGGAGGATGCAGAGGATGAGGTGGACGAGCCCTGAATGACCCGGTCGAGCCAGGGCTCGATGTTGGAATGGCTCTGGAGCGGAGTGGAGGTGAGTCGCCCAGGTCGCCGTAAAGAGCCCTCATCTTCTGAGGCAGATGATGTGTCTGTGGTTAAAATGACGACAGGCATAATGTAGGGATGAGTAGGGAGGAGGGTGGAGTTCCCACACTGGCACCTATGTCTCCCAGGCCTGCACATGGCAAGCTTTGTACACCTGCACCGCTGTGCCCCAGCCTGGCCCAGGGGTCATCTCAAAGGCTGCCCTCAGTCTCGAAGGGCCTGCATTTGCCCGGCTGTAAGATCCAAGGAGCCCTACCTGGGAAAGTGGGAAAGTGGTTTCACAAGCCCAGCTTCCCCCAGAGGACGGTCTGGGAGCACTACACGCTGGGAGTGAAGGCAACCCCAAGCCCTAAATGGCTTCAGCACACTCCTTGGTGGGTTCCCCAAGTGTTGAGTGCTCATCTGAGTGAACGCCCCACACAACCGTCACACAAGGCTCAGCCGGCCTCCTGAGGCAGCGCAGCCATTGGGGCAGCACCCCCAGCCCACCCAGGCCGCCCCCTGTCCACCTGTGTCCTCCTAGGGGAGGTGGCAGTGATCTCTGAGAACAAGTCCTTCCCCAAGACAACTGCTTCAGTCAATAAGGCTAACTGTTTGTTAAGGTTCTAGCAAGTCACCGTGACTGTGTATTTTATTATTATTAAAAAGTTTTTTTAAAAAGTGGGTAGTAACTATTTAGTAGAAACAATAATTTGACAGCTATTTCTAGAATATTTTTTTCAACAATATAAACTTTCATTTTTCTTTAGAAAGGAATTGTTACCAAAACCACCAAATTGTCTTGTAAATCTGGTGTGTTTGGGTTTCACTACATCATCAAACCAAAAACTCATGTTGCCATGTTTCGTGACTTCAAAAACAAGACAAGCAGCGCAGAGTGCCACACATCACCAACACTGGGTGTGGTGTAGACAGAGCTTACAACACCTTCGCTAAAGAAAAGCTCCATGTAAAAGTTCTCATTTCTAAAGGTAATGACAACACGACAATAATAAATTTTTAAAATCCTCCTAATAACCTATACTCTCCCATTTAAGGCCTGGTAACAATATAGTAAATAGTCATTAATAAGATGAGAAGAATTTTAAAATTCTTAAATCAGAGAACTTTAGTATTCCAGGAACATTGATTTGAGGTTCCTCTCTTGACTAAAAAGCATAAATAGCATCTTAGTAAAAGAATTAAAATCTACCCAAAAGTCCTGAAGAAAGCAAGCACCAATGGGTAAGAGTCACACTGTCTATACCACGGATTTTCAGGAAGAAATATGGCTCATATACAAACATTTCTAATCCCTAATTTTTCCAAATCTTTACTACAGGTCAGAGAGGTAAAGGAAGGCTGTGAGGTTAGGGCTGTGGAACCCCACAGAAGCCAATGGTTCGTCCATACCTGGAGGCGTGTAGGTTTCCACCGAGGAATGTACAAGAACAGAACGTCTTTTTGAAGGCATAGGCATCTTCCTCTCCTTGTATTTGGCCAAAGCTGCTTGCACTGCCTCAGTGTGAACATCTACATAAAAACAAGAGCAGTAAAGACACTTTCTACAAGACTGCTTAAGAAATAACAAAATTAAGTTTTATATAGTTTTTTGTTTTCATTGAATGTGAAAGAGACATCAGCATGGCCTATCATAAAGGAAGGCACATGATGGAATGAGCACTGGGTGTTGTATGCAACTGATGAATCACTAAATCCTACCCCTGAAACTAATAATACACTGTATGCTAATTAATTCATTTTAAATTTAAAAAATTTAAAAATTAAAAAAAAAAAGCATGGCCTATGACCTTGGCCCTAGATTTCTTTAAATGTTCCTTTGTTTGTAGATTTGGACCCATGTAAATATTTTCAGTTATAAAACAAAACTATTATAAAAAAGAAATCCCCCAAATTAAAAATAAAATGGAATAAATGAACCTAAACGTGTCTCCAGTTGTTGGCCTAAACTATTCCAAATGACTTTCGAGTACATAGTTAGACCCTTTGGCCTGTTCCTCTGGAGATATCTACTAAGGATGCATAGGAAATATAAACTCTGGGGGCGCCTGGGGGTGCTCAGTCAGTTAAGTGTCCTCAGCGCAGGTCTCGATCTCGGGGTCCTGAGTTCAAGCCCTGTGTTGGGCTCCACTACTTAAGAAAAAAAGAAAGAAAGAAAAGAAATACAAACTCTTTTCTGCGATCACACAGCGATGCTACCATCCCTGGGAACCAAGACACTCATGAGGAAGAAGATCCAAACACAGAAAGGAAGTGAGGTCAGCCTCTATTCCTGGATCTGAATGGAAAGTGTCAGCATGAACACATGTGATATTTTGTCTTTAATTGTTATGCGGTACCCCCTCCGCTAAAAATGCCTAGGAGAAGTGCCGGCCCAGGGGCGTGTGGGTGGCTCAGTCGGTGGAGCATGGGACTCTTGATCTTGGGGTATGAGTTTGAGCCCCACGTTGGGCATAGAGCTTACTTAAAATTTTATTTGAAATAAAAATAAAAAATTAAAAACCATACGAACATTTGGATATTTGATATTAAGGAATTGTTTTTACTTATTTTGTGATAATGGTTTTTATCTTTTAGAGACACAAGGACATGATCCTTTTCAGAAACAGACACCAAGAATATTATGACATCTAAATGAAATAACATGATCTCTGAGATTTGCTTCAAAATCATGTGGGAAGGGAGGGCATAGGTGGGCTGTGGATAAACGGACCAAGACTGAGCATGGCTGCGGCTGTGCATCTGGACAATGAGTCCAGAGGGTTATTACACAAGGAAGTCCACTTTTGTACCTGTTTAAATTTTTCTCCAACAAAATGTTTTTAAAACATGTAAAACCCTTACAGTGAAATGGCCCATAGGGTGCTAATCAGGAAAGATGAAAAATCTGCACACAGATGTATTAAAATAAAATTTACAAACATCAAAGACAACAAAACATTCTATAAGCTTCCAGAGAGAAAGACCGAATCACCTTGGAAGGATCAAGGAATAGACTCACATTACTCAACAATTTTCAGGAAGGAATATGGCACGTATACAAACATTTCTAATCTCTGATTTTTCCCAATCTTTACTACAAGTCAGAAGGGTAAAGGAATTACATCAGATCGGGTGCTTACAACACCAACTATTGGGGGCAAGAAGGCAACACAGTACTAAAGAAAAATGTGTTGAACCTAGAATTTCAAATTCAGCCAAATTATCATTTAAACATAAGGGTCTAATAAAAATACTCCCAGACATAAGAAGGTGTTTGAGAGAGACAGACAAATCCAGGAGCCCCTGCAACAATACGGCAGTAACCGTGAGCACACACTTTAAACCCTATTGCAGTCTTAGAAACCAACATAATCACAAATACAGGTAAAACAACAGAAAACTAAAAATCGACGTGATACCAGCACAACAGGGGTCTAAGTCAACAAATCCAAGAAGCTCAGCAAACCCCAAGAAACATAAAACTATGCACGCCAAGGCACATGTACTGTATGCACGGAGGTTTCTGTGATTTGTCCCACATCACGGACCACCCCAACCTGCACATAGGCAGGCCGGCTAAAGCATGTTGTTGTGTGTGAGACTCATGCTGCACGAGTCACCTTGGGAGCCTGGTTAGCGGACATTAGCTGGCCTCCAGGTCAAAACGGGCCCTTCTGGTCTGGACACCAAGAGCTATTAACTCCTGCTGAGACCCAGCCCCTTGTTCTCCCAACACTGACTTCTTCACGCTCGAGGGTCAGCTCAAATGTCCCCGCCTCTGTCCCTTGTCCAAATTGGATCCTGCTTATTCGTTTATAGCCATTTTGATTTTCCCTCATGAAATATCTCAAACACAGAGTAGAGGAGGGAGAGCAGAGCAAGGACCATCCCTGACCCCGTTTTCTAGCTTCTTACATTTGCCATGATTACTTGAACGACTTAATCATGGAGATACTTTAAATTACAGACATGTAATTATAGTATATATTATATTCCAGGCTCCTGGAAGATGTAAAGACATGAGAACATGGAAATGCAGCTCACTCCAAACTGCACGTAGGTGAGCCAATGTTTAACCTCAGACCCCATCACTGGCCCCATAAATATGGCCCTTATGGGGATGGTCAGCGGGAAGTCTCAGCAGCAGGGAGGCCGAGCCGCCCAGGCCTCTCAGTGGGGACTCCACCCTGGGTGTCTCCACAGGGCTTCCCCAGCTGATAAGGTTGGGTGTTGTAAGCACCCGATCTGATGTAATTCTGTCCTATCCTCCTTAACTGCTTACTATTTCCCTCATCTATGGGCAGATTTCTCTTTTCTTCTATTTCCACTAGGTTTTTACTTATAATATCAATAAAATGTTCTTTCCCCTTTGAAACTGAAAGTACGGCTGCCACGATGAGAACAGTACATCATAACCAAATCACTCAAAACCAGCAATAAAGAAAAAAATCTTAGAAGTGCCAGAGGAGAAAAGTCACATTACAGACAAGGGAACAACAATAAGGAACAAAGCAACAAAACCTGGAGGAAGAGCACTACTGATTTCAACAATTATTACTAAGCTATAGTCACTGAAACATGGTTTTGCCATAAAGATAGACAAATACACCAACAGCACAGGACGGAGTCCAGAAATAGCAACGCATATACCTGCGCAGGTGTTCCTAGATAGAGGGGCAAAGGCAGTGTGTTCTCAGCAAATGATGGGGGCAAGTGGGTATCTGCATGCAAAAAAATGAGCTTTGATTCATACCATGAACTAATACTAAACTCAACTAAAATATGGATCATAGACCTAAAGCTAAAATATAAAACTATAAAACATCTAGAAGAAAACAGAGGTGACAATCTTTGTGACCTTAGGTGAGGCAAAGATTTTTTAGATACAAGAACAAAAGCATTATCCACTAAAAAGAAAAACAAACAAACACACAAACAAATGGTAAGTTGGACTTCATTAAAATTAAAAACTTCTAGGGGCATCTGGGTGGCTCAGTCAGTTAAGCGACTCACTTTTGCTTTCGTCCTGGGGGATCTTGGGTCATGGGATCAGCCCCACGTTGGGCTCCGTGTTCAGCACGGAGTCTGCTTCTCCCTGTCCCTCTGCTCCTCCCCCTACTGCTGCTTTCTCTCTCTTTTTCTCGTGTGCACGCATGTGTGTGCTCAAACAAATAAATAACATCTTTTAAAAAATAAAATAAATTTTTAAATAAATAAATATAAAATAAAATTTAAAACTTCGGCTCTTCAAAAGCTGCTTTAAGAGAATGCAAAAACAAGACAAAACCTCAGAGAAAATACCAGCAAATCACAGTTATGATCAAGGTCTTGTATTCAGAAAATAAAGAATTAGAACCAGAATGAAGTTCACAGCTTATTAACACCTGCCACATGGAAGCAGATGGGGAGCAGAGGTGGGGGGAGCAGGGAAGGCAGGAAGGAAAGGAGAGAAAGGGGGCCTCTACTACACGCCGTTCACGGAGGGCGCGCGTGCAAGCGCTTGTGGGTATCAGTGGGCACGTGTGTGCACCTGGAGGTGTGGGCATGCGGGTATCAGTGGTGTGCGAACCCTTGCATGCGCCCTCCGCACGCACCTGCAGGTGTCTGTGTGCGCCTGCTCAGCGGGATGCTGAGGGCGGCTGTCTCAGGATTCAGAGTCCAGGTGATTTTACTTTTGTCCTTCAACCTGACATATTTGATATCGCATATGCATTATTTACATAATCAGAAAAGAAAATATTAACAGTGCGACAAATGTACGTTAAATTAGTAGGAAATTATCTGATCAAAAATTTCTCGTCACTTCATCACACTCCCATGTTAACGTAACACATAAAATCTTAACATTCCTCTGAGATATTCTTTAAACAAAATGGGTCATTTCTTTATCTCTGTTGAAAGTTTTTCATCATTAAAAAAAAAAGCTTTTCAAAAGAGCTTAAATGGAAAGGAAATGTATGATCACACAGGGTGGTGAAGCAGGGTGCCCCAAAGCTACTGACATGTAACCTACAGCTGAAAACATGAATCTTTTCAACGGGCATTCTGATCATTCAAATAAAATATCACAGGCTAATTTAAATATTGATAAAAGCACAGAGTGGCCGAAATCTCCTTAGAAGGAAATCTCCAAAATTAGAAAAAGAAAAAATAGTAAAAATACCTATAGTAGTAAAGCTGCTCCATAACATACAAAAATTACTAATACCAACCCCAAAGCTGGAGGTAGAAAAATGGACCAAAAAGTTTAAAGAAATTATACTAATCCCGGGGGAAGGACAATTTCTCTAGGGGTTTTTATAAGCATCCCCTGGGGAGAGACCCCCAACCCTACAGTTACATTAAGAGATCCTGTGATTGTGGGAAGGTTAGATTTTCTCTTGAAAAGTAGCATGATGTGGTAAATTATACTTCAGTGAAAACAATTTCTTCAGCAGCCATTTATAGCCAAGTCCACGGGGCGGGGGGTGGGAAGCGGGGAGGGGCTACCCCCTCTCTGGTCCCTACCTGACCGGAAGCGCTCGTCCCGGGAACTGGTGGGCCGCGGCTTCTGCTGTTTGGGCACGGCGGCTGTGGTCTGTGAGGGAGCGGGGATCCTGTTCTCTGCTTGTAGGGATGGATCTACTCCTGCAACACAATTTTGTACGAACAGTTTGTGTAAACAGTTTGCTTTTCCAATGATGGAAAAATCCATTTGAAACAGCATGTATTTCTCCTGTGTTGCTACACAGAACACACTGTAATAATAATCTGGGCACATGCATCCTGCAGTGGCCCTTGAAGCCCAGAAGACCCCTGGATCTGGAGGCTGGGAACAGAGCCATGAATACTCACTTCCAGCTCTCTATCCTGAAAGTGCCCAGCCTGCCCTGCCTCATTGTCCACCGTCCGCAAAAAGGGTGACCATCACAGAGTGTCCCTGAGCCCACCAGCACAGCACGTGTGGCCACCTGGGGCAGACTCTCCTGGGAAGGTCCTTCAAAAGCGTGTTTCTGCATCGTAAATGTTTCCTGAATCTGCAATGGCTTGTGTCACTTTCCCTGGCACTGCCCATGATGTCAGCCAACTCCCCAAAAAGCATCCCACGAAGCAGTCCCTGGGGCGGACCAGCTGCCCTTGGACACAGGCAGAAATGTGGGACAGTGGCGAGTGAGGGGTGCACGTGACTGTGACAACCGCAGAGCACAGGGTGCAGAGACCTCAGGCACTGACGCCCTCAGCTGGGGTGCCTCCCTGCTTGCTGTCTGCAAACCCATCACCCAGAGCACAGGGTGCAGAGACCTCAGGCACTGACGCCCTCAGCTGGGGCACCTCCCTGCTTGCTGTCTGCAAACCCATCACCCAGACAGTCTGCCACCCTCCATGGCCACTGACCACACAGGCCCCTAGGACAGTGTGGCGAGTAAATGGACGGGGCCCACGCATGCAGGATCATGAAACAGAATCCGTGGTATTGTCTGAGCTCTAATTTGCTGACCTTTGAGAACAGCACAACGTGAGCCTTCCGTCATGCTTCAGCAGAGTGATAAAGGTTCACTTTGGTCTCTGGCTCCAGACATCTCATCAAAGTAGCCAGTAGGCATTCCAGCCCCGTGGAGTCTGCCAAGCCTTTATCACCTCCTGAAGAGAGGCTGTCTATCTCTGCCTCAAACCCACTGCTGGACACAGTGTGGCGGAGGCAACCCTGCGTGGCCTGGAGACGATGCAGCAAGAGGACAGCGGGGACCACAGTGGCCGGGGAGACTCGGCACTGCCTCCAGGACACCAGCTTCGGCTCTGTGGACAGGGCGAGCGGCCACACTGCAGACGTGTGAGCACAACGGATGTCATCACTGGTGCTTAGGGACCGCATTGTTGGGGTGTTTAGTTACACAGAGCTAGAAGATGGGAACACCCCTGGAAATCAGTGTTTAGCTCTTCAAAATGTGAGCACACACATACACAAACCCATAGTACTGCAATACTGGTCAGCACTGTGACTGGCATCTCGCCTCTTGTGACTGGATGAAATGACTTTAAAGTTCGTAATGGAGAATACACAGAACCTTATGCATGATGGATACATGCCTATGGACATCCTTACATTTGCATTCCAAAATAGGGGTGCCTTTATTCTTTGAGATAGATTCGTTTATTCCACAAAAATGTAAGCCCAATGTGAAATTATCACAAGAAAGAGCAGGTACATTTTTAAGTTTTACAGGTACCAAGAGATAACTTTCTAAAAGGGTTACAGCAACTTGCATGCCCACAAGCAATGCATGAAAGTGCCATTTCCCCACACCCTTGTCAGCACTGGGTGTTTAGAAAGATTTTTAGAATTTTGCCAATCTGATACAAGGAAAATGGTTCACTTTAATCTGTACCTCCATATCTACTAGTGGGGTTGAACATCTTCATTTCCTCTTCTTTGAATTTCTATTCATTTCATCCACCTAATGAGTTCCTGAGAAAGAGCTGCAGGAACCCCAGTCTGCTGGGGTCACGACCCCGGCCTGTGCACGCACCCCAGAGCTGGGCCCCGGCTGGTGGCAGCTCAGCCACTGGGAAATACTTTCATCTCTAGGCAACGAATCACACCTGCTTTCTTTTCCTTTCTAACTCCCAGGTCTCCCATCTTGCAACCCCCACTCAAAGGTGATTCAAATACCCTCCTGAATGTTACAGTATTTTATAACCACAAACATACTTCGAGCTTTGATCCTTCGGAAGCTTCTGTTTGCTGATGCTACATAGAGAGGAGAGCACCCAGCTCGGCGGCACCCACCGGGAGGGCAGTGGCGGAGAGCACCCAGCTTGGCGGCATCCACTGGGAGGGCAGTGGCGGAGAGCACCCAGCTCGGCAGCATCCACTGGGAGGGCAGCGGCCATAAGACAAGGCTTCCTCCTCAGCGCTCTCCTGCATCTTTGCTAGACCGCCTTCCCGGCTACCAGCTGGCGTCTTCTGCCCCGAACACCAACACCCCCTTGATGTGACTGTATGGGCACAACCAGGTTTAATGCCTGGAGGCCAGGCCATTCTCACTAGTAGTCTCTCCCAGAGATGTACTGGCCACTCTCGGAACCTTTCTCCTTCAAATGGGTTATTATTTCCAATCCCGGGTTTGGAAATTTTAAAAACCAGGCAGTGGTATTCAGACTGGACTACATAAGGTCCACAGATTAATTTGGAAATTATAATTTCCATTTAGGAAATCAGTATCTTTCTTCATATTTTAGGGTCTTGGCTATTTCTTTCATATAGATTTTATGACCCTAATGTAGGTTCTGTGACTTTCTTCCTAAGGTATTAACAAGCATTACGGTGGGCAGTCACCTGTGGTCCCAAGGTATCACACACCACCACCTCTGAGCGCAGACGACTGTCGTTTGCTCTATTCGTCCTGCTTTGCTCCCCCGTCATGCGGCGGTGGTGGCGGCGGCCCCCGGGGCAGAGTGGCATCTCCCCCTGCCTGGGGTGCAGATGCCACAGTGTGTGTCACTTAGTCGGACAGCTGCTGGTGACATCTGTCGCGTGGGCTTTAGACACCCTAACAGTCCCTTCAATTCCCATTTTACTCAGAGATTGCTTTTGCTTTGGATTAATGAATGTCAGGACATATTCTTTTTATTGTTGGTTTCTTGTAAACTGTATCATACTGGGATCGGCAGGATAAACCATGTGTTCCGTTTACAAATTATTACACGGGGAAGAAACCAATGGGACAACGGCAGCAGTAAGGGACACTGAGGCGCCTCAGGAGCCCCCTGCGTCCCCACCTCACTCCACGAGGACACAGCGTGCTGGCTTCGTGAACCCACTGCCAACCCCACACGGGTTCCCCCACATGGGTTCTCCCCCATAGGGCTCCCCCACACGGGCTCCCCCACACGAGTTCCCCCACACGGGTTCTCCCACACGGGTGCTCCCCCACACGGTCTCCCCACCCCACGGGCTCCCGCACACGGGCTCCCCACACGAGTTCCCCCACACGAGTTCCCCCACACGAGTCCTGAACAGTGCAGTCGGCGTGCTGCTCTAGGCTGCAGTGGCCGCGCTCCTTCGGATTATTTCCTTCACTCCCCGTTATGTTTGTGAGACTCATCCTTGCTGATGCGCGGAGGTCTTCCAGCTTCCCCCTGGAGGGGTTCTGCTGCTGGACGTCTGAGCTCTTGGCAGTTTAGGGATCTAATGAACACTGCTGTGCACAGAGAGAGGACAAGGTGCAAGCGTCCCGGAGTTTGTCCCGGGCACCTGTGCGGCGAGCGGCTGGGCACCACTGCCCCTCTTCAGCTCTACCAGCGGTGCACACCCCACTGTTGGAATCCCCTCCACAACCCATGCAGGTTACAGGCTTCATCCACATCCCTCCAATTCCCACTGAGGTTAAACATCTTTCTCTGCTGTCGGCTGGTAGGCTTGCCACTTACAAAACAGTGATTCAAGGCTCCAGCCCAGTTTCCTCCTGCGCTTTTTGAAAAATCATGTTAGGGGAATTTCTGGCTATTTAAGTTTAAATTAATTACAATTAAATTAAAAATTCAGTCTAGCCATATTTCAAGTGCTCAAGAGACATCCATGGCTAGTGGTTACAGAACATTTCCACTATCACAAAAGTTAATAAATAGGACAGTGCTGCCTCATATGTTCTGCATTCTAGTCCTTTTTCAATTATTTGTGTTACAATTATCGTCCCACTGTGTGACTTGCCCTTAATCTCTTTATGGTGACTTTGGATGAAATGACATTGTTAATTTAACCACAGTCACCGCTCCCTCCCTTAGGGTCACAGCTCAGGCCCTATAGTGACTCGTGAGGTCCTATCTTCCGATGGTGACCGTTTTCCTGTACAATCTTCTAAGACGCCGTAGCTTTTGCCTCTCCTATTGGCCCTTCTATGCGGACACTGTTGTGTCCAGTGACATAGGTCTTCTGTGAGGACAGGGAGCTATGGCAGCACCAGGCCCTGAAACGCCGCCCCCTCCCCCCCGCCCCCGCCACCCCGGGCCACGTCTGCATCTCGGCTCCGGGGCCTGCTCTGCTGAGCCAGCTGCCTGCCCTTACTCCAAACCAGGCCGTCTTCACGGCAAGAGTGTGATAGTAATTCTTCTTATCCCGGGACGGCACATCTTCCCACCTCATTCTTCCTTTTTGAGCACATTCTGAATCCCTTGGCCCTTTAAACTTATATGTAAATTTTAGAATTAGCTTGTTAAATTCCACCAAAAAAAAAACTGTTGAAATGACAAGTGTGTTAGCTCTGCAGATCAATTTAAGGTAGGAAGAACTGACACTTTACAACATTTGTTCTGAACCTAAGTAAGGGGATGTTCCTTACCATAATCACAGAAAGAATCGTATTCTATAATCATAAAAAGATAATAAATCCTATTTGGAAATGAGATCTATACGAAACCCAAGCTATAAATTATAACCTGTGGATTATATTATTTAATATTAGATACGTTGGATTTGGATTTTATTATTTAATATTAGACACGTTGCCCAGTCCTCCTTAATAAAATATGAAACATACCAATGTAAAACTCTAAAATCCATATTTAGGTCAAGTTCGGTGAGAAAATTGACTGTTACAAAACAGTTGAGCATGCTGACTTTACCTTGAATAAGTGGGATATAGCGTGCAAGCAGCTTTGCCCGTTTCTTTTCATATCCTTTTTGAGTGATGTCACCTAAAACGACAGTGGCAAAAGATGATTATATTTCCTCCAAAGTTCCAAAGTTTTTGAATGAAAAAATACTTCATAATGGAAAAACTGGAAACACTAATATCGCTGATGCACCCACACAAAACTCTTCAGCAGAAAAAAGGAACAAACTCTGATATACACAATTTGGACAGAGCTTCCTAAGTGAAAGCAGCCTGGCTCAAAGGGCTACAAACTGAATTACTCCATTTATAGGACATCCTGGAAAAGATAAAACCATAGGGACAGAGCAGATGGTAGTTGCCAAGAGATGGGGGTGCGGGAAGGGCTGACTACAATGGGGGATGAGGGGATTTTCAGGGGTAATGAAGCCGTTCTGTTTTGACGGTGGTGGTGGCCCATGACTATATGTGTTCGTCAAAACCCAACAGAACTACACACCAGGAAGAGTGGATTGTATTGTATGTAAATAATACTTTTGATTTTTAAAAAACTGTGATCAGCATCCCCTAAGAGCCTGTCAGAAATGCAGATTCTAAAAAAATTTAATAAAAATTTTTAAAGTTAAAAACAAAGCAAGAGAAGCAGACTCTTGAGGCCATCCCCCAGAATGAACCTGAGCCTGCATTTTACCAAGATCGCCGAGTCCTGTGCAGGCTCATGTGTGCAAGTACTGGTGTAAGGCCAAAGCGCATCCCTGGGCAACGGGAACAGGGACTGCTGTTCTGACAAATGATCATAAAGAAGAACAGCCTAAAAACGAATTAAAGCAGCCAGGAACAAGACAGAAAGTGTGTCTTCATGGGAACACTTCGCAAGCTATGTGCACATCTGTTTCCTAGAGAGAACCTGGCATGCTCAACGGGAATCTGTCGTGTCTTCGAGACTTTATTTAGACCAGAAATATATATATTACAATTTCCACTAGTAGCTTGCTTGGGCAAACTGTCTTTAATAGAAAGCTCTTACTGTTTTGAAGCCCTCCTCCCCTCCCAGTCCCTGCCCCACCAAACCAGCCCAGGGCCAGGTTGCTGGCAGTCAGAGGGGCAGGATCGCCATCCCCGGGGGCCTCACCAAGCATGGCCAGTACATGATCTCCTGACTGCAGGATCTGTTGTGTCAAAATGTCTCCCATCTAAGTGAAGACTCTGGGGAGACATTCATACACCATCCTACAAAAGACGAGTCTGGGGTCGGGGAGCACCAGGTCCTGCTCTCCCAGCAGACGGCTTCTCTGGTCCAGGCCAGACCACCGCAAGCTCCCAGTGGGTCTGCACTGCTTTGACCCTAGCTCCTTCAGCCGGCCCTCCCTGCCAAGCCTCTCTTGTGTATCTCACCTACCCTGCACTTGATTAACCCCTCTGTCCCCACTTTATTCCCCTACCACCCCTACAGCAAACTAGTCTTTTAATTTGAATTTATTCTGCAGAACGTATACTGCTTTGTGTCCATGTATTTGTGCTTTACCTGAATGGCATGATATTGCAAATCTCACATTTTTTTCTGCTAAGCACTCCATTTTTAACATCAGCCAGTCCATGACGCAGTGAGCACACTAATCCGCTGCTACCAGCCAGGGCCCTTGGGGTGCACTGTCCTTGCCCTACCCACTCACTGCACACTCACAGACACCAAGCCGGGCCAGGATAGGATTGTAGAATTTAGCTGTTTTTTTTTTTTTTTTTTAAGATTTTATTTATTTGTCAGAGAGACAGATAGAGAGAGCGAGCACAAGCAGGGGGAATGGCAGGCAGAGGGAGAAGCAGTCTTCCTGCTGAGCAAGGAGCCGGATGCGGGACTCAATCCCAGGACCTGGGGATCATGACCTGAGCCGAAGGCAGACGGTTATGCCACCCAGGCATCCCTATAGAATTTAGCTTCTTAATGTTTAACTTGTGAACAACTTTAAAGCACGTGTATTTTTTTAAAGCAGTATCTACTAAAAAATTACGCTTCTTCTGAAATATACAAAAATATGTAATTAAGACAAATTGGAATGAAAACTATATAGTTACATGACACGAAAACTGATAAACCCCTATTTAAAAGCAGAGCACTGATTTTCCAGGATATTTAAAAGTTAAGTATTTATTTCCTAGAGACGGCTCCTTCTTTGGTTCCCATTTCAAATGAACATTTCCATGGTGAAGGTGCCAGGGAGCATTCAGAAATGAAACGTTAGCTCCCTGCTTCATGCCTGTGATACTGCAAAAGTGGTCTCGTGTCTTCTTACTGAACCAGTTGAACATAACCAAGCTACGCATCTTCATGTGTAACCAGTTACCATATTTCTTACATCCAACTTAGACACTAACCCAACACACCACTGAATGCAAACTTCACCCCACACAGAGAGCAAGACGGAATTCCAAAAGACAGTGCGGACACAAAACCAATAAGCTAATAGAAAAGGGACTCAAGGACGCCTGGGTGGCTCAGTTGGTTAAGCGACTGCCTTCGGCTCAGGTCATGATCCTGGAGTCCCGGGATCGAGTCCCGCATCGGGCTCCCTGCTCAGCAGGGAGTCTGCTTCTCCCTCCAACCTTCCTCCCTCTCATGCTCTCTCTCTACCATTCTCTCTCTCTCTCAATAAATAAATAAAAATCTTTAAAAAAAAAAAGGAAAAGGGACTCAAATCCAAATTTTCTGAACCCAAGTTCAGTAAACACTCAGGAGACAAACAGCAGAGCCAAACTCCCCAACTGTCTACACAAAACTGGAGTCTCCCTGACCCGACTGCCTAAGGGAATCTCTGTCACGATAAAGCTCGCCCCTGGCTGAGCACCCAGGTGCCTGGGGGACTCTGGGAAGATGCCAGGGCCCACCCTTCTCTGGTGGTCTGTGGGCTGCTAGCTGTTCTGACCAGCTCCCCAGGTAGGGCTATGGTATGTGGCTCAGGTTGACCTCCACTGCTGCAAACCAAAGTCAGTTAGGATTACAAATGCAAAATTGCAAATAATTATCTCCAAATCCCAACCCAGACACCACAGTTTCTAAAAGCCTATTCTCAAAAGCATTCAATAACTCCTTAAGGTCACAGCAACAAGGAAGGCAGAGCACATCATATATAACAACAAATAATGGGAGACAAACTAATTGTCCATCAAAAAAAAAAAAAAAAAAGGAAGAAAATATGCTGCCATACATCATTGCTACATAACACTGTTGGTCCTAAAACAATACCCTGGTATTTGGAAGGTAGGGGATGGGTATCACTTACATAGATTCATGATATACTATTGGGTAAAAGGAACAAGTTGAAAACTATATACATAAAGAATGATTTAATTCTGGTAACAAATAAATAAAACTACGCGTGTGTGTAAGTGTATATATTTCTGTGTGTGCAAGAAATGTCTGGAAGGATGCCCAACAAATTATTAACAATGATTTGTTTATTTAGCTTGAGGTGCGTGTGAGAAATAGTTTTTACTTCATACACTTCTGAATTCTTTACATTTTTAGCACAATAACTGTAATTAAAAATATTTGGAAAATAGTTTGATAATGTACTCTGGTTATATAAGATGTTATTGCAGAAAACTGAATGAATTCTATATATTATTTCTGCAACTTATGAGACTAAAATTATTTCAAAATAAAAGTTAAAAATACATGGGAGAGACTATATAAAATTGGTGTTATTTCTTTTTTAAGTGATAAAATTTGTCAGTGAAACCATCTGGGCATGCAGATTTACTTTCCAGAAGGTTGGCATTTTTTCCCCTTCTATCTTTTGTTTTATTTTACTTAAAGCTTTATATATAGGGAGCATTCAGA